GAAGGAGGTGCCCCCGGGGGCCGGTCGGCCCTTTCCGGAGTGTGTGAGAGCGGGGGGGGGGGGCAGGGCAGGGCAGGGGGCAGCTCCCTCTTGCCTTGCGGCCAAGCGTCCCCACAGACTTGGGCCGCATCGGGTCGGAGATTAAGTCCTCCGGGGAGAACCGCGCTTCCGCCACCGTGCACCCACCCAGAGGAGGGGGCAGCTCAGGGGTCTCTCGGCGGGTGCGGGGAAGGGAGAGCGCGGGGCGAGGCGCTTTGTGCGGCCGGGCGGGGGCCGCGCCTCTGATCCCCGCGGCCAGGCTGAGGGCGGCCGGCCGAGCCCCGCGGGAAACGCTGCTTGCAAGGCCTGGGGGAGCCCCGGGGCAACCCCGCGCGCGCTGCCCTGAGGAGAGGGGAGGCGACGGCAAGGAGCCCGCGTGGGGACGCTGCCCACCCGGCCCCCGGGGGCAGCAGGCCGGGGGCGCTTCTCCCACGGCTCGCGGCTCTGCCCCCGCTCCGCGCCCCCCGGAAAGCAGCGGGGCCCCCCGGGCTGCCAGGACAGCTCCAGTGCCTGCTGGGGGGCACACAGCAAGAGGAGCAGAGCCACGGCGACACTGGCGGGGTTGGGGGTTGGTTTGTTTTTTTTATAAAAATCCCGTTTTTGTTGAAAAAGCAACGCGAAGAGTAAAAAAAAAAAAAGATCCACCTCTGCCAAACACGGGCTCAGCAGCCTCTCTTCCCGCCGCCTCTGGGCTAACCCAGCTCTGCTAGACCTGCCTGGTACTGCCTAGCTTCTTGGACCTGCCCTCAATGTATCCTTCACAAATATTTTTATATATATATATATATAGATATATATATATATGTATTGTTAAACATATATATTTTTTTTATTTTCGGATTGTGGCACTTCCCCACTCGAGAGCAAGGAAAAGTGTTAACAATAAGGACATTACACAAAAGTACTGTACCATCGCCTTTTTAGGGTTTCAGAAACCTCTACAGTTAATAAGTTAAATAAAGGGTTTGTACATAAATATTTTGTCTAGGAACCCTATTGTATCTACAACACAGTAAGAATCTACAGATGACAAACTTTTACAACACTACACTGAGTGCAATTGTTTTATAACATTTCAAATATACAAAGCTCTGTTCTTCTTTTTTATAACAATGGTATGTACAGAATCAATAATCACAGTTTAGTGACTTAAACAGTCCATATTCTAGCAGTGTATTTCCCTTTGGTTTGATATAAAAACCTTGGTTGGTGTAGTGATAAAGACTATAACAAGAAAAAGATAAACCCTTTCCTTTAAGTGCACTGGTTATCTTACAGCATCAAACTCCTTCATTCTGCACTGGCAGGCAGCATCCTTGGTTGATAATATGCAGCGGGCTGCATTACCATGAAAAATAGTTCTCCAGTGCTCCTGATAAAACAACATCTTAGGATGTTAAATTAGTCTAAGAAGCTGTGGGGGAGGGTTTTGGTTTTTTTTGTTGTTGCTGTTGAAATTACAATTTCATTTTTGCCAGATGTACAGAAGGAAAAATATTTAATGTATGTAACATTAATATATATATATATATATAATATCTTGTCTTAGGACCTTTTTTTTGTTTAATGATCAATGAAGAAATTAAGATGTTGCACATTTCAAAAATGTACCAGCCAAGGAGTTACTTATGCAGGAGCTCCTAAATGTGGATGCACTCACTCCCGAGATGCACAGGATGCTTTTGCTTTCTTCAAGTTCCTAACTCGAGAACCTACCCAATGTCTTAGTCGCTGGTCCTCTTTTTCCATTTGGTCTTGGTTCGTGCTATATCTGAGGTGACCTTTATTTATTTCTTTAATTCCTTATATTTTCCTCTCTGATTTTAGCACACCTCTTTCCCTGTGCTGTTCCCAGGGATAATATTGAGCTGTGTGAGTTGAGCTGCATGTTCTTTTGCTTTCAGCCTCAGAGCTGCTATGCTAGAAGCCCGTCTGTCTGCTGCAGCTGTTGCTGGATCTGATAGCCCACTTGATTGCACTGCACTTTCCACGGCAGGAGTGGGCTGTCTCAGTAGGGCAGCAGCAGTGGAAGCACTAGTCAGGGGAGCCATAGTGGAAAAGAGCCTGCAAGTAAAGTAAACATTTTGGTCAAAACCAAAGCAGCTATGTGCGTGTGTTGTGGTGGTGCTGGTGTGTTGTAAGAACAAGGTGACCGGTGTTGCCGTATATTTTCCCCCTTTTCCCTGCTGGCTTCTCTCCTAAGAGTTCTAGCCGAGTTCATGTCATAAATAATAGGATGGGAAGTATTATCACTAATGTGGAAGAGACAAAGGCATGTTGAAAAAATCTCACGGCTGGCAGTCAAAAGATTTTTTTTAAAAAAAGAGAGTTTAATTCCCTCAGATTTGCCGGTGACAGCAGCTCACGCTAGAGCACACTGTCAGCAGCAGCTGATACTGTGATTTACACTTATCAGGGAGAGGGATTCCGAAATGAAATGCTTTGGGGGATTTATTTTCACCTTATCTATCATCTAAAAGAAGAAGAAGAAAAAGAAGAGCTGCAAATGTTAAACTCTCCCATTTCTATTCTTCCGCCTTTATTTCCCCTCCGAGGAATGTATTTCTTCCTCCCCCACCCCCACAAATCATCGCCTTCCTGTAAAGGTTGTGCAGCCCCGGTGCCCAAAGTGTCTGAGCGGTTCCTCAGCATTGATGCCCATACCCAGCAGGAAGTGGCATTCCTGTTGATTTCCTCACAGTGGAATGCCAATTATTATCCAGCAACCTAGCATCCCAGCTCAATGACACAATCTTTTAAATGCCTTCCCTCTAGTTTTTCTTACTTCTCTCACCAGAGCAGTCACTCTGAAGAGTGCAAGTGACCCCCTTGACTGGCACATCAAGATGTACAGACTCTCCATTAACCAAGGATGTGATTATTGACATCATCACGGCTAGGAATTGAACTGTGTTCCTTGAAGGCAACAGGGTCTACATACTAAGCCCTAGCATGCTAAGCTCCTATATTGGCTGCTACATTTTTTTTCTTTTTCCGTCTTTGACGTTGCTATTAAGTATTAAAATTTGCTGGAACAGAACGAATTGCCTCGACGAGGTCAATTACTGCTCAGCTTTTTTAAGGCTCCTCAGAATCCGTAATTTTAGTGGTAAAAAAAATGATCTAGCAATAGTATGGATATGGAAACAATTATAGGTTTGATTATTGGGAGATAATCCCTGTTGTGCTGAACTTGCTTGAACAGTTTTAAACCACCTAAGACATACTAAAATGCTACGTTTCCAGGTAGATGAATCAAACGTTAGTGAATTCTCTCTCTCGCTCTCTCTCTCATGCCTATTTTAATCTTACAGACCATTATCCAGGCTGTTGTTAGTAAGCTTTTACAAATCACTTTTCAATTTGTTGTCAGAAAAAAAATAGTAGAAGGATTGCACTAATGCTTCCGGAGAAGTGATAAACTGTGAAATCATCACTCTAAGCAGGGGGCGTGACAGCACTGTAACATCGCTTTTTCCATTAGGTAAATTGAGTCACTGACTACAATTTGAGGCATAAAATGTTTAATTTTATTGGGTTGGACTAAGAAACTAATTTTACTAAAGGTTTATTATTATTTTCCTCCCTGGAGGCTGCTCAGTTGGATGAATCTATTATTTCTTTGTTCTTCCAAACAGAGATCACTGGAGTTGCATTCAGTTTTATTTTCACTGCTCTCTCCAGCTTAATACATCCTTCTATTGTTTCTTTCTCTTCGTGGTTAACTACAGACTTTTGTATTTCATTTGTTTTTTCCCTTAAATAAAGGGAGAGACCATATACACGACTCGTTTCTTTTATTTCAGGTGTCTTACACCACTGTTTGAGTCAGGTGCAAAAACACACAGAGCAACAAGAGCTCGGGAAACACTCCAGCATGATTTCTAGTCATTTTTAAATCGCTTTCTCTCTCACCTGCGTTTAAACGTGTGTCTGGCAAAACTAGGGGCAGGACTGTGGCAAATGAAATTAGGGACAGGCATATTTGTGGCAACAGAGAATTTTAAGGAGGAATAAGAGGGGATATTTGGGGGGGGGGGTATTTACAGAAGGCGGCTTTCGAATTAACAGACCCGAGCATTCATTCTGGAAATCTGCTCCTAAGAGCTGACCTTATCCAATCCGGGAAGGGAAACATAACATGTGACCTACGTCTCCAATCACCACCAACTAAGACAGCGAATTTCGAATATCAAATAATCCACAAGGAACTTGCTTGCGAAAAGAGGTGCCGACCCAGAAAGTAAAAACGCTGCGAATGGCCGGGAATAACTAATAGGCTCCAGGAAAGAAAAAAAAGAGAAGAAAAAAGAAAAAAAAAGTAGAACGGAAGCAAGGACAACTTGTGGACAGAAAACAAAAAACACCAAAACCAACAACCAAACAAACAAACAAACAAAAAAAGGCGAAATGAATCAAATTCCAAACTATTCCCCCAACTCTCCCAGGAAAGCAGCGAGTCAGTGGCAGGACAAGAGGGGCAGAGCTTCAAGACGAGAGGTTTCCTTGCGCTCTGACCCAGCGCCTCAAGCCAGCTGGGCTCTTCCAAACTTGTCTTGTTACTCTTTCATTGCCCGGCAGGTCTCTGGCCCGCGGCTCTGAGCGAGCGGCAGGGCGGAGGCCCCAGGCTGCAGCAGGCGGGCTCGGCAGGGCAGCTCGGGGCGCTCCCCCCGCTCCCCCCACACCTAAGCGAGGCTGCCGCGTCCTGGCGCGCATCGTCTTACGCGCGGGTTTGGTTTCTTTTGCAAATGCGAAAAGCGGAAGGCGTTACCTGCCGAAAGCAGGGCTGATGAAGGCTGGATGCCGGAATACGGCCGCGCCCAGGAAAGTGCTGAGGCCTAGTGGGGTCCCACTGGGTGGCAAAGTTGCAGAGCCCGGTGGAGGAGGTAGACTGGGGAAGGCGGCGGCCGCAGCGGCCGCGGCTGCAGTCCAGGCGGAGTCTAGAGCTGGGTGATGAGGAGGGAAAGGACTAGCATCAAGGTATGGACTGAGGGGGTGAGTTGCCGACAGGGGACCAGGGAAAGGCAAACCTGGGGGGTGCGTCTGAGCCCCAGCCTTTTCCCTCTTCCGCCACTTAGCCCTACGGTTCTGGAACCATACCTGCAAGCCAAAAGAAAACGGGTTTAAGCATCTCGCCCCCCGCCTGTCGCTGCTTCGCCCCAGCCCCGGCCCCCGGGCACGGCTCCTGCTCGGCCAAAAAGCCCTCCCTGCCCCGGCCGGGCTGAGCCCGGCGCTGCCCGCGATCGCCCCGTCGGGGCTCGGCTCTTCCCCGGCACATGCCCCAGTCCTCCGCCCCCCGAGAAACCCGGCCGCTGGGCCCGGAGCGCGGCCAGCTCGGGGGGGCTTGAGGCTTATTTTCTGTTTTTAGCCCCGAAAGATTTTTATTTTTTTTTTGGTGCCTGTCCATGTTCAAGTCCGTTCCCAGCAGCCGGGGCTGGGTTGAGCCCCACGGGCCGCCCGGCCCCGTCTGCACAGGGCGGGCAGCGGCTTAGGGGCCACGCACGCACGCACGTGTCGGAGCGCGGAGCCGTGCGCGAGCCGCGGAGAGTGGCGAGCACGGCGCTGGTCCG